TCGCTTGATCCAGTGGTCCCAATCGTCTGTTTTGGGATCAAACTTAGCCGGAGGAGGAATATTAAAATTGGCTGCGGCCATTTTCACGCTTCCACTTTGTGGGTTATGCGTCTGTATAGAACTCGTTTCCACTGCGGCTGTGCGCGGTGACGTGACTGGCGTGCTTGGCGTGCTTGTTTCTTCGATTCTTTCTTCGTTTGGACCTTCAGCGTTGGAATTCATTCACGCGATGTGAAATACACTGGCGAAACAACTTTCTTTTCCGCTACTCCTTGTTCCTGCTGTAGGATCCCACTTCTGACACCATGTGCGATTATCGGAGGCGAAACGAAGAGTGGAGGCCAAGTGTATATTCAAGGTTATACAATTTAATTGTTAAAGGAGATTACATGAGCAGGGCCTAAGGTCAACTGAACTATTGTACAATCATATCAGGATATATAAGTCGAGCGTGGTTGCTAAGTAGGAGGATTAAGGGCTAATCCCACACTCATTGCCGTTATCGTTTGTTTTAAAGATAAATATGTAAACGAAACAAACTACGTACGTATGTTGTCTAATATATAAATTAACATTTTGAATCAGTTTGAATGTGTTTATGGTCAACTTGCCCAGGTCACAAGAAACCCGCATTTTATGCAAGTTGTTTGATTACTTCGAAAAACATTGAGATAAATCGGGATTTTTGGAATAAGCTTCGAGATTTTTAGAGATAAAATTGGGATCTATAGACATTTTATGGAGAATTTCCAGATAGATTTCTGGGCCATTTTACGGGATTTTTGTAACTAGGCCTAAGAGGGTGGCGCGTTTTTAACAGCTTCCATACGTTTTTTCTTACGTGATAGCGTAGCCGGCACAAAACAACAGCTACAACAACTTTACAAGCAATAAACTGAAACGTCTCCTTTGGGACACCTCTATTCAAAGGACACCTCCATTGAGAGGACCGACATTTGATCCCGGAAAAATGTTCAAACCCTTGTATCGTACATCCTCTTTTAAGCCCCTCCCCCTTCCCTCCCCTACTTATTCTTCTTTAATAAATTATAGACTGTATTGATAGATCACAACTGTAGACTGTAGACGTGGGCTGATCTGGGATTTTTTATTTCCTAACTGGAAATTCGGATTTGATTCTGATCCTCGGCTGCATGAACTCCAACCTTCTGGTACTTGAGGTTTTTCGGGGAGAACTGATACCATCGTCTGTTCTAAATTAAATAAGCCCCCTCTCAAATAAGCCCTCCTCAAACGGGCTTGAAATAAATGAGCCCCCCCCCCTCCCCCTGAGGGGTTTAAATTTAATGGAGGATTTACGGTATTTTCTACCTCTATTGAAAGGAAAACCTCTATTCAGGGGAAAGGGACACTTTTTCTGCATGGGTCCCGAAACCCAGGCTTAACCCTCATTGGCAAGGGACACCTTAGCACTCAAAAAATGACTGACCATTAAAATCGTTGATAAGTTAACGCGTACACTATTCACAATGGAGACAGCCTTCAAAACATGACTTATCTCACATCTACATTAGCCTGCGAATACAGCCGTTTCTTCCCGCTCTTCGCCACTGGGGACGTTTCAACGTCACCAGCGCAGCGGCGAAGAGCAAGGAGAAACGGATGTTTTCGCAGGCTACATCTACATCTACTTCCACATTTATAACTTGCAAGATCCTGAATACGGACATTCGGAAGTGGCATAAAAATAATTAAATTAAATAAGTAAATAAATAAACATTATGAAGAATAACACTACATTTATATAAATAACTAAAATCAGTTCGCTCTGATTAGGGCGAAGCCCAGAGCTTTTTTGAAACAGTGAATTGAGTTCGATTTTATAATGTCCACATGCAAACTGTTCCAATCTTTAATCTTTCCGGGCCAAACGCTGAACTTGTACGCATCACATGTTGCTTGGAGTTGAGTAAACTTAAGTGGATGGGAGTGGCGGTCCGTTGGAATTGCTGATGCTGGACATAGGTCGGAACAGTAATTTCAGCTTCGTTGTTAAGTGTTTTGTAGCGCATGCATAGCCTTGATATTCGCCTCCTGTGCTGTAGTGTTGGCCAGTGTAAATTGTTTAATGCTTGGGAGATACAGCCCTCCTCTCTTGAGTAAGTCTTGGTCACAAAACGAGCAGCCCGTCTCTGAACTTGCTCTAGCAGGTCTATTTAGTATTTTCAGTAGGGGTCCCATGATGCACACTGCATGTTCTAATGTGGGTCTAACAAGTGAAATATATGCCTGAGCCTTGATTCTCTCCGGACAACAATGAAGATTTCTTTTGATGTATTCTAGTGTCTTATTGGCTTTGTTCTTCACATTTAAAATGTGCGTTTTCCAACAAGTGTTTCTGTGATGGTAATCCCTAGGTATGCCTGGTGGTCCACCACTTCAAGAATCTGATTTAGCATAATATATTGATGGGCAATGGGGTTTTTCGATCGATGAATACGCAACACATAGCACTTATAGGTATGGAAGTTCATTTGCCAGATTTGAGACCAACCTACGAGTTGGTCCAGGTCATTCTGCAAACTTAGTGCATCAGCTTGGCTGTGCATGATTACATACAGGAGGGTGTCATCAGCAACTAATTTTAAGTGTGATGAGATCACGTAAGTCGATGTACTCTACTAGTGGGAATTCAACACAAAACATTGCAAAGATAAGTTAACCATGATTCTTTTTTGACATTATTTTAATAAGCTCCTTGACTGCAGCAGGTTACGAGCCAGAATAAAAGCCAAATAATTTGAAGAAGTAATGGGCGCAAGAAAGAACGGGTCTCGTGAGGGAGACACGCTGATACAACATAAAACTAAAAGCTTGGTGAAACTAATGCATCAGACAATTCTAGCTGCGCCCAGCCCCCACCCCCCGGCAACTGCGGGGGTGGAGCATTGGCAAATTTTTGCGCTGCCCGGGGTCGGGCATTTCCCAACTCCGTGGCGACCCCCGAGCTCTTGACACAAACGTGGTTTCCTATCCGAATATAATTACAAAGAGGATTTTAATGGAAAATCAAGCAGATTGGCCAATCTGTCAACAGCCTGCGTAGCTAGCGGTGTTCACTCGACGATATTACAACAGCTCCGCCGCCAAATCT